AGCCAATAGGTTTTGGAAGGACAGCATCTCCTTATGGAGAGCTTCTGGACAGAAAGGAGACGTGTTTGGAGATCTGCCATATTCCTGTTAGCACCCAAGCAAGTAATGGTTGACTCTTTAAAAAGGATGCATTTCAAGGCAAGATGTGAAGCCCACCTGTTATTAGAAGTCAGCCAAGATCTAAGCTCCACTGGGCTCAGACTTTCTTCTCCCCTACCTGCCCTCACCTGCCTGGGTGAATCTCCAATTTGATCAGTAGGCAACCAACATGCCACTAATTAGGAGGCACAAGACATAGCAGAGGATGACTAGCTCATGATGAGCACACGCTGCTTAGAGTTGCCTTGTTAATATTATAAATAGATTAGAATTCTGGGAGCATCTGCATTTCACCCTCACAGAGGAGAATCTGAAATTGACAGGTTGAAGTGAAAATGTGTCAAGTGGAGCTCTGAAACTGACAAAGATCAACTTTATTTCTCTAGACCTATCTCTCTCTTCTTCCCTTGGCCCCCTTCCCTTGAAAAGTCCTAGCTGCCAATGGAAGAAACCCAGCAATTCTCTAACTGAACCATATGATTTTGGAAGGACAGTGTAAGAATAACTATTCTAGCACTTCAGGGACCAGATGTGTTGTTTTTGAAGACAATTATGTGCTTTCCCAGTTAGTCTACCTAGAAACCAAGACAGATAGATTGGTGACTAGAAAAGCAATCCTGTTCTCTGTTTGCTGCTGCAGCACCCTCCTTTTTCTTGCTTTCCACAGTGGGTGGACAGATTGCTAATTGCAGCCAGTTACTGGGATACTGACAGCAACAACCCTCTGCAAGTGAGAGTAAGTAATAGAGACCATGCATCATAAGAAGAGTCTTCTGGGAGAAACCCCATGGAGCAGAAGTAGGACTTTTTTTGATGGTGAGAAATCCCTGGAGCCCACCAGCCATCTGCACATGGGACACTGGGCATAGATATTTCAGCCGAAGAAGTCTCAATTCCTTGGGGAACAGACCATACACTTTCTCAGAAGCACAACATTAAGGGCCCCACTTTATCTGGTTCACCTTTAATAGCTGCAAACAGCTTTGTTCCCCCAGAGACTAAGCTGTAATGACAGATGGAGTGTGTGCCTGTCATGATCTATTTTCCTCTGTCTTCACTGACATGTTGTAAAGAATATGCATCTTGTATGTATTCTCTGGAACAGTTCTCCTTGAGCTGTGACCAAGTTGAAGGTACTTGAAAACCATGTCCCTAGTACTTCTGTATATCTAAAAGGCATATTTTACAAGCAAGTATTTATCTGATAGTTTTTCAATATCTGTGACCAAAGGAACCTAGTGACTCTCAGAGAAGCTTTAGGGGCCCAAGAATCTGGAACATGTCATCACAAAAGCACTGTATGGGAAAGGAGAGCAAATGAAGCAAGTTATATTATAAATACCCAAGCCAAAAAACATTTTTTAAAAAAGGTAAGGTCAAACTGTTTTTGTCCATTAACAGGGCTATCTCTGGGTACCCACAAATGGTAAGAGTGAGCATGTTTCAGAGACTGAGACCCTCCAGTCTTTGATTTTAGGAGATATTCCTGGCACCTTTTTTTAGCAGAGTCCATCTCTTGTGCTTTCCATATGGTCCAAGCAAAATTAAGTCAGTCATTATTTTTTAACAAGCAATACAAGAAGTAGTCACTTTTGGGAACAATGTGTAAGTAATGAATTTTAACCAAAATTATCTTCCTGCTAAAGGGGAGCTGAGGGAGATAGCATGTCTCTCCAGGTAAATCCATTTATTTCCCCTGCAGGTACATCCCTTAGTGAGAAATTGGTTGGATAATTTTTGCAGCTTGAGGTCAGAGACAGTGTTACATGGACAAGGACCAAGCACATTAGTACTAGAGCTTCTCAGAATCAATTCATCATTTGTATGTCCCAAATAATTTAATTTAATCTGGGTTCTCACCCTGCATTGTAGATGTCATTATCTTTAATTTATAAATAGGGAAATTAACCCCTGATTATATCATTTTACCCGTGGGTCTCAGATAATTAAAACATGACGGATCCAGGTTTTATTGGGACTTTTCGTCTCCAAATAAATTGAACTCTGGTTGAAGTTCTCCCCATTTTTTGGTATGCAATGTTCCACTGGTTCCTCTCTGAATGAACCTATGTATCATCATGATATACTCTGAAATGCAAAAAGTATTTTAAAGCAGGGGTCCCCAACTACCAGTCCATGGCCTGTTAGGAACCAGGCTACTCAACAGGAGGTGAGCAGCAGGTGAGTTTACAAAGCTTCATCTGTATTTATAGCCACTCCCTATCACTTGCCTTACCGTCTGAGCTCCACCTCCTGTCAGATCAGCACTGAAAAGCCTGCTTCCATTTCCAACATCCCATCTTTGTGAAGCAGGGTTTTCTGCAGTGACAGAAATCAAGATGAGATTACAGAGTAGACTGAACATAAACAACACACTTAAAGTGTCAATGTCTCCCATCACCCCCAGATGGGACTATCTAATTGCAGGAAAACAAGCTCAGGGCTCCCACTGATTCTGCATTATGGCGAGTTGCATAATTATTCATTATCTATTACATTGTAATAATAATAGAAATAAATTGCACAATAAATGTAATGCGCTTGAATCAGTCCCAAAACCATGCCCCCCACTCCTCCCATCCCAGTGCGTGGAAAAATTGTCTTCCACCAAACTGGTCCCTGAAGCCAAAAAGGTTGAGGGTTGCTGTTTTAAAGGACACGCTACTATTGTAGAGAGAATGGTAATTAAAGTAAGCTTAAGAGTCATAAAATGTAGTAGTACTTCGGGAGGCAATTGTTGGGCTACATCTGGTCCCCTTTGGTAGTACTGTTGGAGTAGACAAGAGAATCTGGCAGGATCTCTCTGGCCTTCTTCCCTCTGAACAAGGCTCTTCACTTTAAAAGGTGATCAGCACAGCAAGTGAATCTGGAGCCTGGCAGCTGACTGTTGAGCCGCTTTATTTCAGTCCAGTGGAGGAAGTAGGGACATCAGACTATGAGCTGCTAAATAAGTGGGTTAGCAGGGCAATGGCATGAGGAGGGTTGTGAGCCACTGAAGAATCAGTGGACTTGGGAAGTGATATTATACATGTATAATAATTTATATGTCCATTCTGGACATTATAAATATGGGAACCCTATTGGCATGACCTTTTGTAGATCAAGGTGCCTTGTATCATTATAACAGGAGCCAAGGAAGGTGACTTTTACCTAGTCCCTCTCCTTGAGCTATTTTGGTGGCAGGTAAAGCAGTTATTCTCAAGCTTTAATGCATATGCGAATACTAGAAGAGTCTGCTTATAGTGCTGATAGCTGGGCTCCAACCCCAGAGTGCTTCTGCAGGCTTGGTTATTAGGTCTGGATTTGTCTTAGAGAAGATAGTTCTGATGCAAAGAGTGTCCTCACCCTTGGTGAGAAACTCTGCATAAAAACAGCTGCAGAGCCAACTGTAGTCTCTACCATCTGCCTTTGCGGCTGTCTTCTACTGAGAAATCTGACAAACTTGTGCTGGTGGTGAATACAGAGGCTCTATTCTTGGCCATGGTTTTCGCAAATGACCCAACTAATGCATCCAGAAAATTCACCTTTGACTTAGAACAGACATATTAGGCATTTTACAGTATTTGGGAAGCTCCAAACCATTAAAAATCCCCTAAAGAAGTATATTTACTTTGTGTTATGAACCGCTAATTAGATTGAAAAAAAATCCATCGTTTCTTCTAGAGGTACCTAAAAGATAATCTCAATATTTGAGAAGGGTATTTATATACTATAAATTTTTCAAAGGTGAGTATAATTCAAAAGTTAAAACAAGAATCATACATATTTTTAAATAAATTCCTGAATCAAAATAAATTTATTTTAAAAATTTATTAATTCTTTATCTTCAAATTTGAGTTTAGAAAACATGATTCCTAAATAGTCAGCTAGTTTCCAAAAGATGGGATAAAATTATTGATCAAAGCTTTCTTGTTTCTTGGGTTTCTGGGATCCCTGGAACTTTATCACATATTTTAAACACTAAATAATTATTTTTTAAAATCCTACTTATAGTCCTTATTCTGGGTGCTTAGCTCACAGTTTCTTATTTACTGTGTGTGAAGAAGAGTCACACACTCACCAAGGGGTCAGAGAAGGAGATTTACTGTTGGTTTCATGTATCAAACATCAGGAAGATGAAAAGGGGACATATGCCTTGTTGGTTTCCTTACCTCATTTTACTTCTCCTGCTTAAGTATTCAAAACGTGAGTTGGAGACCCATCTCTAATACTCACTCAACACTATCTGACTCAAAGGGCTTGCAGTTACCAAGACTTCTGCTTAGAAATCCTAGTCATCCACATTTGAATGGGTAATTTGTATATTGGTTCAATGGATTACTTAATGAAAACTCCCCCTGTGGTAGTAGAAAATGAATTGGTAGAATAAATTGGAGTATTGTTCTCAGTTCTTCTTACTCTCCCTATGTTGGGATTATTTATCCACACCTTTTGTAATTGAACTTAGTATTGCCTTGTGCCAGAGTAGGAAGAGCCTACTTCTCTAGCCAAGGTTGGACTTGGCTGTTGATCTTTAGTCATTGGAATGTAGGTGACGATAAATAGTGACCACTTTGAGCCAAGGCCCTAGAGGCATAGGTTGTTCTGCTGGCTTCACTTGGAATTCTGCAATCCCCCATGCAAAAGACATGCCCTGGGTGGCTACCTGTCCCAAAATTATAATAACTCATGGAGCAACTCTAACTACTTGAAGCCTGAATCCAGACTAGTACAGCCAAGCCTAATAGTCCCAGCTGATTTCAGCCAAACTATAAACTATCTGAAGACTCATGAGCAAAAAATAAGTATCTGTTGCTGTAAGACACCCATTACTTTTTGCCATGTAGCATTATTGTAGTAATTGTTGACAAACACAACAGGTAAAAGAAACTGCCCCAAAAGAGAAAGCTCAGCCAAGTATGTAGGTTTGATGTACAAAAATACATTTATTTTCAACAATTTCAAAACCACTGTCTTTTTTTACAGTAGAAATATTCAAGTGGAACAATAAAACCAAGAACAGTATATGTACATATACTGTATATATAGATATGACTCATGCATCTTTATTCCAGTGTTTAGTACAAGTATTGCAATTGTCTGCCCCATTTAACCCTTGAAACAAACAAACAAAAAAAGGATCTTTCAAATATCTCTAATACTGATCTATGCTGTAGCCAGTCAGATTTCTCTGTATCACATTCACTCTGTGTCTCATAAAGAAGAATGAGAACAACTTCTGCAAAAATTAACAGGTGCAAAATGTGGCCGTTCCTCCATTATATATACAGTACACCACTTTTAAAAACAAGTGTGCTCAGGCTGATCTTGAAAATAAAAACAATGCCTACAGCATGGCTTAAAGTGACCCTACTGAAAATAACTGGTATGTGTAAATATGTGAAGGTGCTGAGGTGCTGGAAAAGCTCAACAGTTTGGAAAGTCACTCACCCCAGAGGCAAGAACTACCTTAAGGGAACTGAAGGCAGACATTTGACTTTAAGGAAGTTGAGTACATCTGACAAGCAAATAGCACAGCTTTGCTAAAATTGCCTTTGACTAATATCATTAAAAGCTAGATCCCTATTTGGCCTGCAGGGTTTGCATGGATTCATGATTCCACAAATACCATCTCTCTTCTAACCTCTCTAACTCCTCCAATGCCACAAGGCACTCAGTGGAATTAACCAAGTGACCAGAGGACTTTTCTGAGCTAAGAACAGCCTGAGAATTCACCATAAGCATTACACATTTTCATAAAATCCAATGAGAAGATAGATTGTCATTTTTTGATCCATTGACTGCCTTCTTTAGATATTATTTTTTCAGGCTGACAAATTTTCTCAACTTTTTTCTTCAAGAGAGGAAGCCTTTTTCCCATCTGAGTCTCAGTGTGAAGCCTCTAGTGGGCCTCATCTTATAGCTTTTTCCATGTCATTTTTGAAACAAAAATGACCTCCATGTTCTATGATGTCACTAGAGTCCTTCCTTTTTCAATTGCCCCAAAGAAGCCCTCCCCCCGCCCCCCTTTATATACATAAATAGAAACCAGCTATGATGTGGACAAGGAGATGCAAGAATTAAGTGTGACAGACAACAGGAGAGCTCCAGACCTAACACATCAAGCACGCCTGGTGGGTTGGTCAGCTCTGAGGGTCAGTGCGTAAGCCAACACACTCATCTTTCTTTTTTCTGTTTTCTTTTTTACTAAACATTAAATTATTTCTTAGGAAATAAAAAGTTATTTACATTGTAATTATATACAATGAGCCATCTGTAGCCTCACAATTGACATGCACAAGGCAGGGCCTCTTTCACAAAGGTGTGCATGCTGTCTGAAGCTATGCCCACTCCCCACCAATCTACCTCCTGCGGATTTAACTGGGAAATGGTTTGTGTTGTATGTATGTGTGCTGGGGGTAGGGAGAGTGTGGTAATTTTTGGAGAGGAAAGATAAAAGGTTAACAAAAAGCCAACCCGACTTTATATATATGTAAAAGAGAGATCACAAGGAAAAAGAGAGTCCTTAAGCTATTAATGGCAGAATAACTAAAGGAGGTTGTGGAAAGATGTATCCTTGTATTTGCCCTTAGTACAAATACAGCTATTTATTCCTTTTGTCTCATTTCAATCAGCAAAGAATGCCTTTTTCTTCCAAAGCTAAGCATCTGCCTGCTGTTTAATGAAGGGGCCCTTGGTAAACAAAAGATAAAAAAGACATTTTCATTTTCCATAATAATAGTAACAGTAATCATCAAAAATAAAAGGTCAGAAAGGTGGTTGATCACTTGACTTGTTGGTATTAAACACTAGTGCAGTTTGGGATCTCCTTTGTGCTTTCGCTGTTGGCAATGGTGGCAATGCCTCCTGCAGGGGAGAGAAGACACAGGGAGAAAGGGATGTAAGTTCTGCAAGGGCAGGGGTCTTTGTTTTATTCACTACTAAATAGCAAGCCACCCCAAACAGGTACTTAGTGGGTATTTACTAAAAGGGCCCCTGAATATTCTCACCTATCAGCTCATTAGCTAATCTTATCCATGTTTAACGTATGTCACCTCACTCACTAGAACACAGGTAGGACTCATACATTGACAGCCATCTTATACTCTGTTGATAACAATAGTAACAGCCAACACATATTGAAACTTACTATGTGGCAGGCACTGTGTTAATGACATAATAGCATGTGATTATCACAAGAATCATAGAATAATCCTTAGGTACTATATATAGGGACAGAGTAGAATCATAGATACTATTATTCCCATTTCACAGATGAGGAATATAAGGCACAGAGAGGTCACAGAGCTAGCAGATTAGCAGAACAAGAAAATAGACCTAGAGCCATCTGATGCCAGATTCCACATCCATGTGATTATTAATAAGAACATATAATGTTTTTTTGATAGAAATGGACAGTTGACTTCATCTCTTTCTTACCCAGACCCCAGTGCATATAAAATTAGTTTACTTTTTTTATTTTAATTTTTTTCTTTTTGATTTTATGTGGCCAGATATGGCAGACAAGTTTTAAACATTATGCCACTGTAGCCCATCCTTTTTCTGTACCCTCAGTCCAGTACTGTCTGACAGAAAGACCAGACAAAGCTGGCCAATTGACATAGTGTTTGGAGGATGGAGGACACAGAAGTTTGGTGGAATAGGCACACATACCTGTGACCCGTGTGTCCAGCTCTTTGTCCATCAGTTCCTCAGGCTCTGTGAAGTCACTGAGTGTGATTTTGGGGGTATTTTCACTTTGACTCACTGACCCAATCATCTCCTGCTCCTTGTCATGTTGGACTTGAGCATAAATGTTAATCCAGGGGATTTTCCTACATGGAGAAGGAACAAAATCAGATTAAGATCACAGGGCGTGTCAAACTTGGGGAATTAGAAATTCTAGGCAATAAGAGGGTGAAGAAGCTATTAACAGAAAAAGTCAGTGTCAGGGAACAGTTCTGGTCACTTAGAGACACTGTGGCCATGAGACCCAGAAACACAAGGCTAGCCAGAGACCTAGATGCCCAGGGAAGGTATAAACCACAGAACTCCCTGAGGAATGCACTTTCTCCTGGAGGTCAAAAAACAAACAAGTACAAACCAAAGGGTGATGCTGCTGATCCGTTAGGCACTAAAACCCTTAAAATATTTATCTGTTATTATGTATATATGATATATATCTGTTATTATATATTATATATAAGATTTTTAAAGGAGCTGGACTTTGAGACTTACGTTTCTACATAGTTAAAAGACGTCTTTTCCTAAGGTTGCATTAACTTAATCAACTCCTAATGTTTTCTTTTATGAACAGACAAGAAATAATGCACTCATAGCCATTGCTACAACTTTCAGAACACCACTTATGGGCCAAGTATCTTAAAAACTCTGTTAGTCAGTTTCCTCAACTGTCCAATGGGGATAACAACAGCTTTTGTTAAGTCTATAGAGATGATTAAGGGAATGATTAAGAGACGCCAAATAACTTCCATCAAAGACACAAAAGTAGTAGATTTGGAAACACAAGGCAGACTGGCATGGAATTGGAGGAGCAAGCATGACCTTGAAATTTTGAGGCATTCATTTACTGACCCATCTCCATTTTTTTCCTGACCCACTGTGTTCCAGCCTCTGTGATCTCCTTTGAATTTCTCTAATCCAGCACTTCTCAAACTTTAACGTACTCATGCATCACTAAAAGTCTTTGTCAAAATGCAATTGTGACTCTGAAAGTCTGGACTGGATGGGTTGGGATCCTGCATTTCTGCCAAGTTCCCAGGTAACGCTGAGGTTGCTAGCCAGTGGGAGACCCAAACTGTCTCCAGACTCAAATACATGAAGCTCTTCTACATCTTTGGGACTTTGAACCAACTATTCTTTCTGCCTATAACACACTTCCCTCTTCTCTTCTACTTCGGAGTTTGACTTACGTGTCATCTCTGAGAGGTCTTCCCTGACCTCCCAACCTCCCCTGTTAATAAACATGCAATTATGGGATAATGTCTACTGAAGAAACAAATAAGGTCTTGGTTTAGGGTAAAATAATAGGCAATGATTTGGGGCTTGCTTTCTGTCTTTCTTTCTCTCCTACTAGTTCCATGTGGGCAAGGTCTATGTTTTCTTTTATTTTTTTAGAGATAAGATATCATTCTGCTACCCAGACTGTAGTACAGTGGCACATTCCTAGCTTATTGTAACCTCAAAATCCTGGGCTCAAGCAGTTCTCTCACCTCAGCCTTCCAAGCAGACAGTACTACAGGCAGGTGCCATAATGCCCAGGTATTAAAAAAAAAATTTTTTTTTGTAGAGACAGAGTCTTGATATATTACTCAGACTAGTTTAGAACTGCTGGCCTCAAGTAATCCTCTTGCCTCAGCTTCCCAAAATGTTGGGATTACAAGCGTCAGCTACCATGCCCAGCCAGCGTCTACGTTTTCTATTTTCACTGCTATGCACACAGCTTAGCATGGTACTTGGTACATAGATTGCATTCATTAAACATTTGTCCAATAAATGGAATAAATGACCTCAAAGCCTGTATTATTTCTACTTTCCTGTTCTATATTCTTCAGTAATGTTCTCACGCATAAGCAGACCTTGAGCAATTATCATAATACTATAAGAAAGGGATTGGCAATAGTGGGAAACTGCTGGGGTGGGGCGGGGGGGTGGAATTGGCAGTTGAGGAAAACTGCTAGAGGAGGGAGAGGTACACCTCATCAACAAGGGTACCTGCATAATCAACATTTGTATACCTAACCCTGAATTGTATCCCACATCTTTAAAATTAAAACTAAAATTGAAATTTAAAAAGACTATATTTTTATCTTAGAGTATCACTTCTAAAGTAGACCCCTCTTACCTCAATAAAAGATGGGGAAATTGGACTAAAGTCCAGACATTTTGGAAGCCAATTGCTGGCATAGATATTATTAAAACTTGGGACATCTGATACCTACCCCACTCCAGAACATTCCTTGCATTTCTAAAGGAGACTGGCTCTGTTGTCCTAGTAACAACCAGTGGTATTTTCAAACTTCTACATTCTCCTCTCCACTCCAACCTCAAATGAGGCAGAATGTGGAAGCATTTAATAAAGTTTATCCATAGTTAATTTCAAAAGAAAAAAAAAATCTGAAAATGGGTTTAAAACATGCAGCAGTTTCTATCTTTTCTTTATGTTCAGTTTTCATGTCTTTTGTGTATGCTTTCCATACATGAAGGGAGGTGCGCCCATAACTCCTACAGGCCTAAACCAGGTTTATATACTTTACAAGAACCTTAAATGAATAGAATCTATGTGAGGCAGCAAACTGTAGGCACTCTAAATGTGTATAATTAAAAATTCAGGCAGGCCTTTACTTACATTTTATCTAAATAGAAAAGCAGTTTAATGACTTAGATTCTTTCCAATCATAAAAGTACATATTGCTCATGAATGTTGGTATCAACTATAATACTTATTAGGTGTTGGGATGGTCAATCCATTGCTGATCACACAAATCTGTATACTTTAGTGCTGTAACCAGAGCCTTCTACTTCCTTCTCCTTGTTTACTGATGATACCTATGAGGATTTGGATAAACTTGCCCTTATAAAGATTGTTCACTTTATTTCAATTTCCAGATGACACACCTAAAAACAGGCATATACTTCATCTTTTAAATATAGATTATTAGAATGGAATAAGTTTCAGATAATAATTTGCAGAATTTAAAAATATGCCCAGTTGCTTTTTGTTTAACACATCTCCTGTTTGTGGGACTGCTGAGAATATAAGACAAGGCTGAACTACCACTCTTACATATAAGAAAGGTGGAAAATAAAGAGATCAAGAGACATGTTGTGGACCACACATTCATATAGTTTTAAGTAAGAGTAGTAATATGTATAAGCCCAAGTCTTCTCCCCAAAAACTAAAAAACAAAAGCATAAACCAACTGCAGTTTGTATTTATTTGTTCCAACTATGATGAGTGTTAGGAGCCTGTGGGAGGAAATCTGAGACAGCAAAGTAAGCTTTTAGTAGTATTAAAAGCCTTACAGAAAAAAAAAAAAACGGTTAGAATATAAAAGCACAAACATTTTCTTGAATAATCAGAAAAAGCAGATCTGTAGTTATAGAAAGAAAGTTTTTTAGGCAGTTTTCAGAATGTAAAAGCCATCTCCTAATGATTTTTAATAATATTGCTCAAGATATTAGAAAATAGCAGACCCTATCCAAAAACAAGATGGACTATGAGGAGGCAGGGTGCTATTCCCTTATTCAGTAAGTACTTAATGGGGCTCATGGTAACTCTTTTCCTTCATGTTAAATGACTAATTGAAACATTGAGATCATTTTCAGTGCCTGGCACATAGTAGGTACTTAATAAATGTTTGTTGAATGAATGAATGGCTTAGTGAGCTAATGCTGGCAATTACAGAGAGGAGGTTTTGGGTCTATAAACTCAGCATGGTCAATGATCTGGATGCAGAAACAGAACTGCCCTTTACCCTAGACAGCACTGTTCATCAGAGTGTTTATTGGCTAGGTATAGCTATTTACATTTCAATTAAAGTTAAATATAATTAAAGTCCCTCAGTGATACTAGTAGCTACTATATTAGATGATACAGAATCCAGAGCATTTTGAACAGAAGTTCTATTAGACAGTAAAAAAAGAAGCCAAGGAGACTCTTGGAATCCAGGGCTAGGAACTTGGATTGTTCTAAGCCAGGTGTCCTCCATGTACCCATCACTGAGGTTTCATGGGAGGGAGAGAGAAAGAAGACCAAAGAAATAAAAGAAAATCTAACAGAATCTCAACCAAAGGCCTTGAGTATTGGGAAGAAAACTTCCAGAAGGAAGAGGATAGAAAAGTAAAGATTAATTAATTGATGACTGGTCACTCTTAGCTGACACTGCTGTTATCCAGTTTGACTGGTGTTTGTTTCCTGTGGTCTTAGGTACATGATGCACTGTCATGGGTGCTGATAGTTGCAAACTGCAAAGGCAAAATAGTTCTGAGATGTCACGACCTGGCATGGATTCATATATTACAGTGTATACATGTAAAGATGCCTACACTAATAAGTTAATTGTCTAGGGAGTTTAGCAGCATTTGCAAAGGAATAGAAGCCTTCCAAGTCATAGGATAAGTGATCCTTAAATGACCTGAGTTTGGAGCCTCCTGACACAAATGCCTCTTTGCAGGATTTCTACTGACCCTTGTCTTCAGCACCTCTGAAGTTCTAGAAGCCAGAGGTGATACATTTGGTTTATTTATTTTTCAAGCCCCAGCAACCACTAGGCTTCCCTGCAATCAAACTATTGGATAAATAAAAAAGTGAAAATATTCTTTGCATATAATTGAAGTACATCTATAAATGGATGTTGCCTTAACCAGACTGTTTCCATATTGAACCTTTTTTCACCAATTGTGACATAAAAGTTTCATCCTCTCTTAAAAGGGAACCAAGGCAGGTGGGTTGACATGTTTTGATCCAAGAGGAGGCCAGGCACAGTGGCTCACACCTGTCATCCCAGCACATTTGGAGGCCAAGGTGGGAGGATTACTTGAGCCCAAGAGTTTGAGACCAACCTGAGCAACAGAGTGAGAACTCAGCTCAACCAAAAAAATTCAAAAAATTAATCAGGTGTGGTGGCACATGCCTGCCAGTAGTACTAGCTCCTCGGGAGGTGGAGTGGAAGGATTGCCTGAGCCCAGGAGGTCAAGGCTGCGGTGAGCCATGATCACATCACTGCACCCCAGGCTGGGTGACAGAGTAAGACCCTGGAAAGAATAAGGTAGATAGATAAGTAGGAAGGAAGGAAGGAAAGAAGGAAGGAAGGAAGGAAGGAAGGAAGGAAGGAAGGAAGGAAGGAAGGAAGGAAGGAAGGAAGGAACCAAGAGGACATGAACTCACATACTGGACTATTGAGTAGAAAGGTAAACCTCACAGTGTCCTTCTAATGGGTGTGGAGGATGTTGGTAGGATTCCTTCTGTTATGGCTAATGCTAAGAGGTATACTGAATAATAATGGTGCTTTGAAGCTACTGAGAGCTAAAGGAGAGCTAAGCAGGAAGAAAGGGGACAGGAAGAGTCAAGCACCTTTACCACCGATCTCTATCAAAACCGACAAGAATTATTTTTAGAGCCTAGAAACACTCTCAGGAATGAACAATGCTTTCAAAACTTATCTGATAAAAATTAATGATATTTTTACTTTACCCAGGATTCCAAGGAAGCCCACATTTATGCCACCGATAAAATTTTTGAGAGCCTACTATGTCCCAGTTTATGACAGAAAGGTCATCTTTGGTAGGCATGTGCTTTATTATTTAGAATAGCTTAACTTTGTTGATTATTTAACATGTACTATTCATAGATATTATGACATTTAAATCACATAACATGCCTATAAAATATTACTGTTATCCTTATCTTACCAATGAGGAAAGTAAGGCTTAGAGAGGCAAATATAATTGCCCAAGGTTACAAATGTTAAATGCTAAAATTGGGTATGATTTCAGAGTTCAAACTCCTAACTAGTACACTTCCTGGTAGAAGTATTATATCATTTAAATATTGCTACAAAACTATTTATCTCAACTTCAAGTTTTTAAGGTGTCTTGTTATACCCTCTTTCTGTGATTTTTTAAAAAAATTCTGAATACATGTGGAGTTTTGTTTTCGTGATCAATTTTCCTTTAGAACAGAAAAAAGAGGGAGATGACAGTAGAATATGTTCAGCTTACAAATTTAAACAGAGATACTGGATGGCTGCAACAAGAGATAAGAAAACGAGCATGTGTGTGACTTTACACGTACATATCAGATTTTAGCTTCATTTTCTCTATTTAGCCACCCTGAAAGGGTATTTATCTGTATAAAAAGACTTTCTGAATCAACATGCTTGACTCAGAGGGGGAAAAAAAGCTCTTCTAAATATTATAGATCTTACTCTAGAAATCTGGGTGACGTTTGAAAACCCCTTACACTTCTCTTGAAGAGAATACATTGATCTCATAAATTGGATAGAGTGCAGATTCTTGAACTCATTTATTCCCTGACCCTTGCCAATTCTTGCTTTTCCCTATTGTCAAACAGAACTTCAAGGAGAATTAAAATCCATTCTTGAGATTAGTTTAGGAAAGATGGTTTATAGGAAGAATCATCTGTAATGAACCTAGTCCAACATCTAAACTGAGTGATAATAGCACATACCTTTTAAATTTGTAGATCAAAAACACAGCCAGGCCTATAAACACCACTGACAAGAGCATAAGCATGGCCGAGCTGCTATGCCCAGCACTGGAGTCCACCAATGGAGCTAGGAAAAAAGAACAGGCATGCTCACTTGGAAGCTTATTAGCTGAAGGGAGTGCCCATTGGAGAAAGGAGGTCACTGGTCTCCATCCTTATGTCAAGCCTCTAATTGCCCTGCATGCTGTCTGAGCCCAGGAAGTCTGGCCTCAATTATAAAATAGTAAGCTCTGATTATAGCTTCTTAGGGAAAGCAAACTCCTGTTTGGCCTGAGAAAACTTACTGTTCTTAGTGTAAATTGAACACAATGTGTCCAGCTCAGGGGAGGAAAGGCTCAAATGCTCTTTATATTAGATAACCTGTGTGCCTTTCAGCATAATTGTAGGCAACCCATTTGAAATTTGAGGCTAAATACTAGTGAAATGTTTTATTCTCTTCCTTTACACCATTCTGGTAAAACACCACTGGAGAGGCACATTTGAAACTTCCACATCCAAAAAGGTCTATGACAATAAGAACCATTTGTCAAATAGGCTTTACCAGATATAGATGCCAAATGGGACATGCCTTTTCTATTCCTTTCATAAGTAAGCCAATTAAACCTTGTCCCTGTTTCTACTTAGACTCATATATTGTAAGGGGGTTTAAAAATTATGTGGGCCAGGCTCGGTGGCTTAGCCTGTAATCCCGGCACTTTGGGAGGCCAAGGCAAGTGGATTGCCTGAGCCCACTGGTTCGATACCAGCCCAGGCAACTTGGCAAGACCTCGTCTTTATAATAAAAAATAAAATCAGCCAGGCATGGTAGCGTGCACCTATAGCTCCAGCTACTTGGTAGGCTGAGGTGGAAGGATTGCTAGAGCTCAGCAGGTGGGAGCTGGGGTGGCTGTGAGCAAGACTGCACTCCAGACTGGGTGACAGAGCAAGACTCCAACTCAAAAAAAGAAAGAAAAAAAAAAAAAGAAAAGTTATGTGATCTGGCCTCCCATTCCAGATTCAGGGAATCACAGAAATGAAGAGAGCTTAAGGACTACCTGATATATTTCCAACTGTCACAGATAATAAATAAATAAAGTCAAAACCCTAAAAAATTATTGGTTTTATCCAAGGCTATCCAGAGATTTAATGGCAAAGCCACTCCTAAAAAATGTTTTCCTGCCACCTTCACATAATGCCTCCATGGAGATGTGACTAATTGTTCTAAACCATCACTACACAAAAGGACCATCCTACAACGCTACTTTTAGGCATTATGGAGCAGTGTTTGGTGATCCTCTCCTCCTTTTTCTCTCTGGGATAACAGATCATCATGCCCCTTTTCCAGATTCCCAGTGGCACTCACCTAATGTCAGCTGTGTGACATACACAATGACTTGTACCCCTGGTTTCAGTTCAAACTGGACCAAATTTTGGTTTAGAGCATTAAACAGCGTCTCTACAATCTGAAAAAAAAATGACAGAGAGAGAGAGAGAGAGAGAGAGAGATGCTTGGGAAGACATGATATGCAATGATACTCCCTCATGGGGTAAAAAACCAAGAAAGTTAACAGATAAAAAATAACCACATTCAGTCATGGGACAGGACATTAGAAAATCTTTACCAATTTGGTCCTCAGCCCCTGGAGCCTTGTGAAGCCAAGGAAGTAGTTGATCCTTGAACAACACATTTTTGAACTGTGCAGGTCTATTTATGCATGGATTCTCTTCAACCAAATGTAAAGAATGCAATATAATTGAGATGCAAAACGTGTATATATGAAGGCCTAACTTTGTATATGTAGGTTCTGCTGTGCCAACTGTGGGACTTAAATATGTGCAGATTTTGATATATGGCGGGGCGGGGGGCAGGGAAGCCAAAAGGGACTTGAAACCATTCCTCTGTGTAAACCAAGGACTTTGACCATAGTTGGCAACATTTGCTTGTATTGGAGAGGAGAGTGAGATGGAAAGAAGTGTGCCCAGAGTTATCTGTTAAATTAGAGCTATAGAAGCCATAGGTGTTTCATTCAACTCCTAGTTCGGTGTACTTTTATCCTTGTCTTTACAACATACCATAAAAAGACCTGTTGTGGGTTCCAGTGAAAGAAAGTCAACCCATCATTAGTGCTTTAATTTGATCAAGTCATACACACAGGGGATGGAGGCCCCTGCCAGGATGAAAGCAGGGCTGTACATGCCCCTGCCCACTCCTCTGCTTTTTCTATCTTAGAGACAATGGGAGGCAAACATCAAAGCAGAAGCTGCCTCTTTTTTATAGGATAATTTTTCCTCTTTACTTTTCCCCAGCAAGGCTCAGAACACATAACATCGATTTAATCACTCTGTAATTCCCACATGAAAGCCGAGGCAGGCTTAGGCTGTTGTCCCTAACTCTTATCTCGCTGTACGTGCCTTAATATCACAGCTGCTATTCATCACCGTAATTACCTATTTATCTAAATGGATGGATATTGTAGCTTCCAAATATAGTTCACACATGCCACTTGCTATTTCAGAATAAAGAGGTCTTGTAAAAGTGATGTATGCATTGAGAAGCTGAATTTATTTCTGGCCAACTTCAATAGGCCACCCTGCCATGCAAATAACTGCTTCATTCTTCTGAGAAATTGCAATTGTATCTATACTGTCCAGGGACTGTGGATGAACGTGGGAACAAGGTGAGTACCGTAAGGACAAAGAAGATGTTTGTACAATGTTTATCTCGTACGGGAGCAAATGTGTTTGATTCATGCCAATTTTCAGCAGCCTCATTCTCACCTATTTCTACTTCTGATTTAGTATCAGGAGAAAGCAGGGAAGGGTAAAACAGAATCCAGCCCCTAAGACTCCAGTAGATATGGGCGTGAGAAGGAGAAACACCAGACCTGCTATTTCCTTTACTTTCAGGAAATGTGCAGATCAGAGTATAGCTCTATGTGCCCATTTGATAGGCACAGTAAATCACAATCCCTTTTGGAAATACTGTTTCCTTAGTCAAAGCAAGATGAGGCAATACATCTTTCTCCAAAGAAATGTTTTTAAAAGCAGTTCATTTTCTTTCCAGAAGCAGAACTTAAATTGACCAGGATCTTTAGAGTTAGTGCAGTTTAAAGACAAGAAGCACATATTCTCAGAAATAGATAGGGAAACTCAACCCCACTACCCTCTTTCTCTCTCTCTATCCCTCCCCTGCCTCATCACTTCCTCCCACCCCAGGACAAGTCACTGGGAGGAAGACATGAGCAAGGGGCAGAGATGCCAATGTTGGAATAAATGACAGACACTAAGGGTATAGCTCCTTCCTGAGTGGCTGAATGCTCCAGTCTATTTGCATCTGTGTTTATTCTGGGTAAGACCTTCAAAACCCTGGGTTTTGGACAAAGAGTGACAGGCTGATGAGGCAATGAGAAAGAGCCTAACTCCCTTTCTGGCTAAAAATAGCTCTGTGCCTCCTCAGAGTGTGGGGTGGTGGCCAGGACCCCAGACAGTTTCACTTTCACTTACTTGTTCCAGGTCCCCTTCATTGCCTTTCCTCCTCTCTGTCAGATTTTTGTGTGGGAGAATGAAAAGCTCTGCTGAAGTGGGGAGGCCAGGGAAAACGGCAACCAGGATCTGGTCCTCTGGGACACTGGTTACCTGCAAAGATGTTTAGACAAAGAGTGAGGTCTTGAGGGAGCCAGCCTTCCCCGGATCAATAGCAAAGAACAGAGTGGGCACACCAGAGGGCTCATGTAAGTTTTCCAAATATGCCTTTTAGGTTCAGGCTCCAATACACATCCTGGCTTTCATTCTGTTTTGCCCCAGGTCTGCTTGGTAAAGAATTATTAGTTTCACTGCTTCCATGTTCTTACATACTTAAAAAAATTTTTTTTACTGAAACTAAAATAGTATTACAAATGATTTTCAGTACATTATTTTGCTGGGAACATTTGTAAAAGTTCCTCCTATATTTTCTATTTTTTCTAAGAAGACTAGAGCTTCTGGCTAAAACACAAACAGACTGGCTATAAATGAGAAATAAGGAGTCACAAACAAACATGGGAAAATGCAAACTTAAAGAAAGCAGAGCAGCACTTGTTTTCACTTATTAAAGTGGGATTTTTAAGTTAATATCAGTGAGGCTGCAATGAAGATTTCTTCATTTGGTGTCAGCAGCACTAAAAATTGATACATTTTACCAATTTTTTTCCTGACTTACTTTAAGGCCATAAAAATATTCATACCATTCATTCAATAACTGTAACTTGGCAAGTTTGTCCAAAATACACGATCTAAAATATAGGAAAAGTCATATGCAGGAAAAATTACAACATTACTCATAAAAGCAAATATATGGGAAAACCTCAAGTAGTCAAAAAAATTAAGTAAATACTGGTATAATCACCTGATGGAATATTATTCCTCCACTAAGATGATAATGAAGACTATGAGGAAACATGGAAAAATACAAGTGATGATAGCTGCATTCCAATCTATTTCCTTGCATTTATTTGGTTATAACTCTATAAAAATAAAAAAATGTATAGGGAAAAACATACTAAACTACTAAAAGTTGTTAAGAGGCAGAGATTATGCATGAATTTTTCAATTCCTGAGTGTTTACTAAAAGGAGTATATTGCTTTTGTGATAAAAACGTATACGTAAGCTTGTGTCTGAAGGCAAATTCTTAAAGAAAATAGAATTCTGAGTTCTCCTCCTGTAAAGACTATTCTTATTATTTCCTATGTGTCTCTTAAAGATCTTTTATCCAGAGCAACACCACCTCCTTTGCCAACTCAATATGAGACATAATTTGCGATTCAGCTGAAATACCCACCTCCTCCAAGAAGTGCCCACTGACTATCTCTGCCTGCAGTGATTTTCTCCATTTCAGCCTCCCACCCTAAACACCTCTCAATGACCATGTCTGCCACATTTTAGGGACATAAATCGTGTCCACTATGACATACAATTACTTCTGTCTGGCACAGTCTTTTTAAACAGGTTCTTACTGTCAGCTTGCCAAACATTTCTGGAGGAACTCAATGTTCCAAAAAATGTTTGAGCTAGAGTAGAAACTCAATAAATAGTTGTTGGGTTTAACAGAAGTATAGGAGTTGGTTGTTCCCCATTTTCTCAGCTCTGATTCCTATTTGGAACTAGGCTTAGAGATTGGAATTAACTCTCAGGAGTATAATAATGAAGAGTGAAGAGAGCCAGCCTGCAGGGAAGTAAAAAGCAGCAGGCAGAAACATAAAAATTCCACCAACCAGGAAGGCATCCTCTTGAAACTCTGAGGTGGCTCACCAAATGCTTCAGTATTCTGCTGAGAAATATGAGACCCTTGAGTAGCTGCAAGTCTCTGCCCAAGCCCATGGGCAGGAGGCTTTCTCCTAGCCTTCTAGGGAAAGCAAGTCTCAGGAGATGAGACTAAGTAGTTAAATGCAGATCATTACCAAATGGAGTAAAGGAAGGCATGCCTATTAGTGCCTTAGCAGGTGTGTAATCTCAGGGAGTGTCAGTCCACCAAGGACCCTGTAGATGTATATCTAGATTCACTTAATCCCATCCAAAGGGACATGCGACTGATTGACCATCTTGATACCTGAAGCCTACAAATCAGCTGACATGACTATCATCCTTTACTTGTATTATTATTGCAATTGCCAAGCTATTTCTTAAAAAGCTAGTATGTTCTAAATGAATACAACCATACAAAATTCAACTCAATTCTGGATGCTTTGCTATCAAAGACATGGTCTGAGTGATTATATCTCCCAAATTCACAAGTTGAAACCTAATCATCAATGTGATGGCATTCAGGTGGGGTCTTTGGGAGATAATTAGGTCATAAGGGTGGAGCCCTCATGAATTAGATTAGTGCCCTTAGAGACCCCCATAGAACAGCTGTGCTCTTTCCACCATGTGAAGACACAGTGAGAAGGTGCCATCTGCGAATCAGGAAAGGAGATTTCACCAGATATCAAATCTGGCCTCTGGAATTGCTACATTTATCATTTAAAACACAGTTCAATTAACCTCTCCAAAGCCATTCCAACAGTTCAACAACATTTATTAAATCGGAAATCTGTGCCATGCCTGTACTTCCTTGGATAGAGTGAATCACACCTTCCTCTGTGTTCCTTGAAGATGGAGATCATGGCTCTACCTTAAGGCTGGTCACACATTAGACTTATTTCTACATTTTAATTACCATGCTTAATGCATCATTATATTCTATCTCTAAGAAAACGGTTAACAAACTGTTTTACTTTCTCTAAGTCAAAACTGACTTTGAGTTAACTCTACAACTCTGTCTTTCTGCCAGAATAACCCTGTTTCTTGTCCTGTAGCTTCCTGAGTGCCATGTATGGCCAGTGGTAGTCTTATGGATCTGAATGTCCAGTTAAAAAGACTTTCGTGGTGGCAAAGAGCCAACCAAGTGTATGATATTCGTATAATCTTAGCTCATTAATTAGCTCATTATAAGGGTCAAACAAGCACCTGTCTCAGAAAACTTTAGGATAAACTTTAGGTCAATTTCTATCTTTAACATCGGACTGAGCACTCCCTCTTGTGCAGGCTTACTCTTTCTCTCCCTCCACGCCTTGCCTTCCCCTCACCCTCCTTCTTTCCTCCCTCTCTCCCTCCCTTCCTTTCTGTCTCTGTCTCTCACTCCCTCTTTCTCTTATTCTATCCTTCTCTTTCTCCCTGCCTGTTTTGCTTTCTTCTCCTCCCTTCCTTCTCTCCTCCTTTTAATCCTTCCATTCTTCCTTTCTTTCTTCGTATGGAGAAATAATCCTTATCTAATTTAGAATAGTCATTTATTTCTACAAAAATGTATTCTAGACCATACTATCTTTTCCTTATTCACAAGACTTAAACAAAGATAAAGCCAACTTACTTTCACCAGAGCTCGCTTGATGACATTGCCAATATCTTGCCTCCACTCAGGAATATCAGGATTATGGTAATCCAGATTAGGAGAGAATGATAAGAGCTGAGACTGGAAATATTCTGCAGAGAGAATATGTGTGTAAATGAGACTAGAAGAGAGAGTGTGTGTAAATGAGACTGGAAGAGAGAGAAGAGAGAGAGAGTGTGATAGATGAGAAGCTCTAAAATCACTGTGCTTTAGGGAAAGGGTCTACTCTTTCATGAAGTTTCAGTTATAATTCCTTATATCTAGCTTGTTTCTTGGCTTCTGAAAGAAAGTAGAATTAAGTAATTAGAAGTAGATTTGTGTTCCTATTAGTTTTGTTAGTCCCTAAGATTTTAAGTTTTTCTCCTTGTAAACAGTATTATCTGTAATGAAAGATAAGCATGAAACCCTAGAAGGAGACATCTACAACTGTAGGTGGTACCGCACAGAGCCACTAAAAAGCATTAACGATTTGGGCTTAGTTGGAATGGAGTCCTTTTCACTTTTTTCCCTCTCTGTCTCTTTGTCTAGCATTTTAGAAACTTCCTTAAAGGATTAGCAAATAGGTTGAAACCTTGTATTTTGACTAGTTAGTGAGTACTCAGGTCTACTCACTTTGTGGTAATTCATAAAGTGAAACAATTGTGCTCTGTATACTTTTCTGTATAAAATTTACACTTCAATACAAATGTTTGCTTAAAAAAAAGAACCTTCTATACACCATGAAAAACCTGAAAAGCAAGTTTACAGAGACGTAGGGAAAGGAATTCACCTGGTGTGAGACTGGAGAAACATGGTCTGGGCCAGAGACTGACTTCATACAACTTTCTAGAAAACCACAGTGATGATGGTGGCTGTGTCTATTGACCTGGGGGAGTTGTGTGGGGTGGCAGTAATAGCAAATCAACTGCATGTAAAATAAATTTAATAATTAAGAATGATATCTAGGATTGAGAACAGAATGGTGGCCCTAAATAAACCTCTCCTGCCTTTCTCCAGGCTTATATTCTCAGCCTTGTTACCAAGCTTTTGCAGCCAATGATAATAGACTCTCTAACAATCAAGAAATTATATAATCTCATTACCTGAGCTATGTGATATTGGGAGCCAGCCTCGGAGGCCCACTGAGCATTAGGGATCAGGAAGGGTCGTTGACCCCGAGACCACTAGGATGCATTCGGGAGCTGTTGACCCCATTCCCCCCCTTTCTACTTAGTATTATAACCAGAAAAAGCTCCTGTAAGCTCAAACATAAAAACTCTGAGACCAGGACAAGCACAAACTAACTTCAGAAGCTCATTGTTCCTATTCTTCCACAAACTGCGGTTTTGGCTTTTACACAACTTACAGTTCAAACTTGGGTCACATCTAAGAGCCTTAGTATTGATCACAGGCTTCTGGGTCATAATTTTAGGATTTATTGAAGTTGAGTAAGGTGTAAATTGTAGAATATAGTTTTAGAAATCAGCATAGGATGAAAAAGGTTTATAGGATAGGTTAGTCACAGATTAACGTTAGCGTTTGTTATGGGATTTTTAGGTTATCACTTAACTTGGTATCAGTATAGATTAGCATAGGATGAAAAGGGTTTATAGGGTAGGTCAGTCACGGATAAAGGTTAGCATCTGTTATGGGATTTTCCTCCTCATACCTGAAAGAACATCTAGTGGGTGGGGGACGCCCCTCACACACCTGGCTTTGTGTTCATGTGAAAGACATGTGAGTATAAAAGCCCACTATTAACACTCAATAAAGTTTGTCTTCTCTCAAATCTAAAAAGTTGTCCAAGTCTCTCTCACTCTCTCTCTCTCTCTCTCTCTCTCTTCTGCTCAAATCTGAACAGTTGTCCAAGTCTCTCTCTCTCTCTCCTTCTCACAATCGCTGACGCCATCTCCACCTTCGGGAATCTCTGAACTCTGCTGGAGTGGGACTCCAGCAATGAGTCCTACAAGGGCAAGGACCATGACTTCAGTTTTTGAAATCACTGGTCCATATCTCACAAAGAATGGTGTTGCACGTGTGTTGTAGATACCTTAACAGGACATAAGATCTAGATCCTTCTGTGTCAGTCTTTCCAGCTTAGCAGTCCTTCAACTTAGGGTATATATCTGTCTAATAAGAACCCTAAATAAATTTTGCAGACACTCCACAGGAGACAGCAAATACTTGTCTGTAGTCTGTTTCTCTTATAGCTTCACCGTCTATTCAGGAACAAGGTAGAAATTAAGTCTGGATGCCTCAACCTATAGACACTTTCCATGATCTGAGAAATTCCCAAAGCAGTCAGTGATTGCCGTGAGGGTGGGTGAAAACAATTGACTGGGGAGGAAGGAGCTACACAATTTTTCAGGGCTTACCATGAACTGCAATATCTTTCGTGTCCTGGATAAGGGCATTTCCAGCAGCCACCTGGACAGTGATGGTGTTGGTTCCCTCTTCAAGGAATGTGAAGGAAATGCTACTGTCCAAGGTGATGAGAGGCTAGAAGTAATAAAATGAGAAGAAGTAATAAAATGCATTTTACTTTTGTGGGATATGAGATTTCCTTCCTTTCCTGTAAATTTCAGACTGTCATTCTAACTTGAGAAAAGAAAAAGAAAGAGCCTTTATACAGCTTTCTTTAGGATTATTCTATTCTTCTGGTATCCAGGAAGTATTAATATAATTGAAATATTTGATAAAATGTTAATTCTGAGAGATGTGGATCAAACTGAACACCATGGATGTTGCATATCATTCTGTTACTTTTCCTGGGACAAAGCAGGAGCAGCTTTTGTAACCTGTTCTTGTTGGCTCTGGAAATAGGAGATTATTTCTCTTCGTCCCCAATAGCTAATGTCACTTGTATTTTCATCCTGTATTCCACTGGACTGTAAGACCTTTCAGAGAAGCGAGCACATGTTATTTACTTTGTATTGCACACCTAGGTATATTTTCACTCATATAAAAGAAGACATGTAAATTGGATGCATGGTCAGATTACTGACTTTTTTATTATGTCTGTGTTTTTCATTGCAAGGCATTTTTACAATTTTTAACAGGTTGGAAAATATATAAACATATATTTCCATGATCATTTCTTGATATATATATATTTATTTATTTTTCTATTTTCTTTCCCTGAGCATTGTAACACATAGAAACTTCTCAGGAATAAAGAGAGAAATAGAATACAGTTGTGCTTCAGAATACACAAGAGGTAGGTTCCAGGACCCCTGAAGTTACCAAAATCCAAGCATACTCAAATCTCTCAGTAGGCCCTCTGTATTTGTGCTTTTCTCACCCCGCAAATACTGTATTTACTATTGGAGTTTGGTTGCAGATATGAAACTTTCAGATACAGAGGGTTGACTGTATTTAATGAAAAAAAAATCTGTGTATAAAATGGACCCGTACAGTTTAAACTTGTGTTGTTCAAGGATAAGATAACCCCCCTCCCCGGGAAAAAAGTATCTTAATAAAAGCAGATACTTATTGGAGAAAAGAAAGTACAGATCCTGAGACTGAAGAGTCACTATGCAATGGTCATCTTAGAGCTGGTGCCCTCTCAAGTTCTCTGTTGTTTGGAAGGTAAGATGTAACAGTAGGAGGTTGATCTAAGACAGCTGATAAAGACATGTCACAAGAGCAGATGAGCAGCCTTCCTCTCCTGTAGTCCTGACACACAGACAGGAGAGGAAGGCTGCTCATGTAGCCCTTTGGGGGATGCACAGAGCTGCCCTTTAACAGGGAGGGTATGGGCCAGCTCCTGCCCAGTACATCCCTGCATGCACGCACACAGAGCCTTGTAGAGGCTACAAGATGCAGCTTTCAGAAAATGTCCCCATTGCAGACTAAAATTCTCTTCTAGCTCAGAATTTTCAACTGGTCCTTTGAAACAACAACTTAATTTCTTCTGGTTTAAAATTCTATAACTCCATTTTATGATCAGGTTGATGGCTGGAGTTGGACAGGATTAGATATTAGATCCCAAAGCTCTGACACCCTTTCTTTTCTGTTTGCTAAATGAAAGGAGAAAGGGAGTCTGGAAAGAAACACCCTCTTTCCCTTAACTAAGAGCAAACCTCAGACTCCAGGCATTCTTCTCCACAATTATGATTGGATGATGATACACACACAAGTGTGGTCTACTGAATTAAATGACAGATGAGAAGTAGGTTCTGACATATACATAAAATTGAATGGGTCAAAAGTGACTGTTCAGAGTTTGGTTTTGAGAAGAAAGCTGAAGACATGTTGGGCTCAGCACAGGAATGCCAGCCATGGCCACAGAATAAGAGAATTGTAGCATGTGTGCCATAGAGTTGCTATCTTTAGTATAACTACAAAAGTGAGTTGAAACTCTGGCTCTGTTATTATTTTAATGAATGACCTTGGGTAAAGTTTGTCCCTATTCTGAGTCTTAGTTCTCTATCTGTTAAATGATGGGTTTGGATTAGAAGATTTGTGAGGACTCATTCAGCAATCAGAATCTAGGGACTGACAAATGGCTTTATGTGAAATTTCTAGTATCTATCAAAACATCTTCAATTGCTTCATCACTTAACCACATTCTTTGGAAAGAGATATCTTTATACACCCAACAAAATGGCTAAAATTTTTAAGAAATGATAATACCAAATAATACTGAAGAGGCGGAAAAATTGAAATTCTCATACAATTTTGGTAGAAATGTAAAATGATAGAACCACTTAGAAAAATGTTTAGTTTTACAAGACTGAGAAGGGGAATGGGGAAACTTTCTGAAATGTTGGTAATACCATATACCTTGATAGAAATTTGGGTTACACAGGTGAACATTTTTATAAAAACCCAGTGAGTATACACTGTAGATTTGTGCATTCCATAGTTAATATATTTTATTCCTCCATGAAGCAATAAGTGTAAAGAAATACTGAAATATAGTTATTAATGTGCAAACTGAATCATTTAGGATAATGTATGCAATTGTCTTTAATTTACCTTGAAATTAATTTTTAAAAAGACAGACTGATGGATACAGGGATGGACAGATAGAGAGATGTGTGATAGAAGGTATAGAATACTCACTGCACAATTCTTCCAACTTTTTGAAATTTTTCATAATAAAATATTAGGAGAAAATTTTTTAAAAGAAAAATTTTAAAAAGAAATAACCAATGTGCTTTTATTTTTTTCTGACTCCATGAATCACTGTCTCTGACCGTGACTATATTACACTGCCCTTCCATTTTGGTTAACCACCTTCAGCTATTTCTCATGTTTCCCGACTCCTCACTATGAGGCATTTTTCTCCCTTAACAGTGCTCTCTTCAGGGAACCTTCACTACTTCCATGTTACCTTCTTCAGCTCTCAGCAGTATACATGGCCCTATTTCCTTTTTCTGTATGTTCTATTATCTTAAGACTCAGGTGGCTAGTGCTGTCCTGGGCAATGGAATCGCCACTGAGAGGAGTGGAATTTCTCCTGTCCCAGCAGCTTTAATCTTGTCTCCATCTGGCTGCTTCCTTGGGAAATCCAGGGCCCCAGCAAGGGTGCAGGGATGCAAGACAAAGAAAATGCCATCTGAAGTGAAAGAGTGTGTGCCCTCCTGCCAGCCAGTCAGGGCACTGAGCCACAGCAAACAAACCGTGCTGAATGGCAACACTTGGTCCCCAGGTGGCAAGCCACAGACTTCCATGCAAGGGAAATGGCAGAAACTAATTTTGTTTTCCAAATTGCTTTTGTTTCTTATCTGCTGTTATGGCAGCATGGCTGACTTCACCTTCCTTGCAAAGCTGGAACACTCAACAGGAGTCTTGAGTTTTTAATCAGCCACCGATATCTGGTGCCCAATGCTAAATTAAATCAAGTATTTTAAGGTTCATTTACTCAAATATATTAGGCAAGCAGACACATTTATTAAGCCAGACCTCTGTGAATCCCAGCAAATTGGCCTTTCAGCGCCCCACAAATCCAACAGGCAGCTGATTGACTTCTCTGTCTCTGTGTTTTGTCTAAGCTACAGAGCCAGCTCGCAGCGAGGCCCCTTAAAATAATACCTCATGTCCTGCCTAGGCTACACCCCTCCCCACAGAGAATCCCGTATGTGAGACAGGTCACGTATTATCTGCTGAGCCCAGCAAGAAATCTACAAAGCTCTGAGTGACTATTTAGTTATGAGAGTCCTACTTGACGAATGGAACAGGGAGCTGCAGGGAAATCCTTGGATGCAGCCTATACCAGTTTCCCAGACACAGTAAATCAAGTTAATACTGGATATTAGAAAATCTCCACCTCTTAAAATGTATACCCTGATAGAAGCTGCCAGTCCCAAATTGGACAGACTATGCAATCACTACACTTGCCTTACTTAAATCATTCAGCAGATTATATAGTAACATATGCAGAGTACTTATCATATGAAGTGGAAAGGCAGAATATATAATTGGAAACATACCATGTTTAGAACTAGTATAAAATCTTAAATACACACAAAGACAAAGAAGAAATAAAGCAAAATATTATCTATAGCTATGTTATGACTATGGGATTAATACAAAAATGCATAGGTTAAAAATAAGTTTTTCCTCAAATAAATATACACACACACTCAAATATATCCAAAACCTCTTTGAAAGTATTTAACTCTCTAAAGTATCACTGCCCACAAAGCTGTTTCTATCTTCTATCAACCTACCCTAATCAGAATTTCTATGACAAAAGAAAAAGCATCAGTTCATCTCATTCAAAGCTATCTGTCATCTGTCCTCCCTACCTTTCAGTTTTTTTCCCAACTTCTGCCTAAATGAATCCTCTACTTTGGCTGAATCAGTCTACACAGAACACAATTCCCAAACCTTACTTTTATACACAAATCCCTTTCTCTTCTCTCTGCCCTAATTCAACTACTCCTTCAATGCCAGCTTAGGCCCAAGGCCCAACTTTATACATGACTCACTCCATGACCAACAAGCTTGCATCCATCACCCCTAGGTTGCATGATTCGGCCAGTATTTTTATATTCTCACTGCTTACATTCTTGGATCTTTTCTTGGATGCTAGTCTCATAGTCTCAAATGAATGATATGTTTCTTTAAGGAAGAATATAGAATTAAGACTGCTTTGTAGTCCTTACAGCATCTAGCACAAAATATAGGATCTTGAAAAAGATCCACAGAGGATTGTTCAGCAATTTCACTCCCCACAGTTAGGTGTGCAGGTACCCGAGCCTATAGTTGAATTTCAGGAATCTTGCCTTTTTTCTATTCACTTATACATCATATTTTCTCACCAGTTAATTCATGTGTGTTCATCTTCCTTCTCATCTAGAACGTTATCTTCTTGACAATAGACAATGTTGTACGTGCTCTTCTACCTCTAATAGCATCAAGCAAGGTCTGGGGTATAAAGTGTGAGGCCAATTCATTCTTATCTGTAGTTGACTTAATTCAACTACTTGGTAATAACCCAGTTTCACAAACACACACAATAAACAAAAACTCATACAATTTTCCCTAAA